GTCCCAAATTGCACGGTCAGTTCGATGTTACTTACTTGTACAAGACTTTTGAAGGTCCGCCTACAAGCCAGAGCTTTTCCTCTCCCAAACTCCGAAACAACCCTGACATCATGAGCTGACTCCCGATGGAAGGAAGGAAGACTATGCGGGGATTCATAACCAACTCGTGCGCGTAGGAATTGGGCGCCACTTGCTACTATACCATTTCCGGCCATTAAAATAGTAAAGGAGCGAATAGATAAATCAAGAATAAATGAGAAAAAACATCCAGTTAGTCCAATATTAGTAATGCTACTGCAGGCAGCATAATTCGCGTGAGACCCCGTAACTTCGATTTTTCAACCTCACAACATTCAAAAGTCTTTTCGAGGTGAGCGCGTAAATCTTCTCGCTGAGCAACGCCTTCCTGGTAGATTTTACGCATAGCCAGGCTTTTCGAGGAAGAATTTGAAAATATCGTAAAGCAACTGCTGGAACATGGGGAAACACGGGAAATAGAAACTTCACCTGAAAGTTTTTCCGCCACTCCTCCGCTGAATGTTCCTGCCTCTCTCAAATAATTATCAGGTGAGCAATAATTAAGCAGCTAATGAGTGAGTTTTGTTCGTTTCCTTTATTGTATCGGACATTTGCACTGAATAAGTTAATGTACTGTTATTTCTTCGTTACCGATAATAAATAATAATAATAATAAATGTAAACATACAGAGTAAAATATCGTACGGGATATTGCGCAATGCACTGCCAGCATACCAAACTCAAAAACATCCGATGGATTGAGTAAGTGAGTGGATGACTTTCGCGATGTAACACCTAACGACAATTACTCAAGCTATTGCGAACGTTTATGCATAAGATAAGGGACGATTGCGCATTGCAAGAGCCAGGACAACAGTGCGATTCGTTCCAAAGCAACAAACCCCAGATGGTTGTGTCGAACAATCTGAAAATCTGTAGGGAACGACACGAGGCAGGGTCGGTCCTATCGTTGCTACTTTTCAAAAAGTTTTTACGACCCCCCTCCCTCATGAAATGTTTCATACGACCCCCTCTTTAAACAATTTTTACCCCAAAAAATTACCGTCGAGCGGGGGGGGTATATACTTACCATAAAACCGCAAAAAAAATTCGCCCTACATTTCCTACAATTTTCCCATGTATTTTACCCATATTTCAACTGCTCCATTTTCTAGGGGGTATATACGCGCGCTGAAACGGCAAATTTTCTCCCGCGCCGCTCCCCACTCATCACATGCAACTTCTTACAAACGAAGCAAGTACGACCCCCCTCTACAAACTCATCAAAATACGACCCCCCCCCGTTGCTACTTGTAGCAACATAGGGTTGACCCTGCGAACAGAGGTATCCCGTCGAGTATCACAGTTGCGCCGTTGTCACAGGCTGGCTTGGAGGCTCCCCCGGCGGTTCGCTTTGCTCCATTTTTTCATTTTCAGTCAACTCGGCATCCATAGTTTCATTTTCGACCGCTGTTACCCCACCAATTTGATCTGGGGTTGTTGTTTCGAGCAACGGTTGGAGACCGCGTAAATGAGTTGAACTGATGAATTGAGCCACCCTTAGGCCGATGTCAGACTTTGCGAATCGCGCGATTCGCAAAGTCTGACATCGGCCTTACGTTAGTTGAGGTGGAGTCCTAAAGTAAAAAGTCTAGGCAGATTATAATTATCGTGACAAACGATCGAAATAGCCTTAAGAAATATTCAGTCTAGTTTCAGTCATTTGATGTGGGTATATGGTCCAAGTGGAAGGAGATAAAGCAACGCTGACGCAGCTATCACATTTTAGAGGGAATATGTAATCATTATCCACTGAAACACCAATACCACTTTTGTTTCCTGCTTGCTTTTGATCCCCGTTTTCCGCTAGATCTGGTACCTACGCAAAGCCTGGGATGATAGCCTGCTAATGTAAAGCTTGGAGCAGTTCCCTAATCGCGACCGAATACCGTTTCCACCCTTGCAACAAGAGGTAGATAAAATCGCACTAAACCAATCGCTCCACTAATTTATTCAAATCACCGAGAACCTGTTGCTGTTCTCATTGGTTTTTCTTCTGAATTGATTCTGATCCAATACAAAGATTTCGGGAAACACAAGCTAAATTTCCTGTAAGAACGCCCCCAGGCAATAGCGATTGTTATCGGATAAAAAGCAAAATACGTTCAGGACTATTAGGTAGAAATTGATACTTTTGGTAGGAATGCAAGAATACAAGGCAGGAAAATGAGAAACGTCTGTTTTTATCCTCCACCTCGATCATAGTACTCTTTTAGTAAAAATGCTTTGAACGTTTGAAACGATTTGAAATGTTTCAAACCTTCGAAACGTGTGTTCTTCAAACCTAGTGAATATAAGCATAGTTAAAGAATAATGCATAGTATCCTCTAGCTTTTCGCTTCTTAAGGCATAGCCTTACGTTGGTTGATCGTAGGACAGTAAATATTAGTTTTTTGTCTTACGAGGAATGGTCAATTGGTCAGTCCGGCCGTTTGAAATGAGATGTAGTCCAATGGACGCGTCTTGCGACGCTGAGCTCAAATCCGTTTTCGTTATCTGCGGAACGATTCTCTGAGAGAAGTTAGGGGGATTTTTCTCTTTGTGACTTTCCCACTGTGGCACCCTCTACATCACCTTAGCTCTTTCTTTATTTCCTGTGCAACTGCGAAAAGCTGTTTTGTTTTGATCACCATGTGAAGAACTATCACATATGCTCACGAATTATTGAAATTTTGTATATTTACGAGCCTGTGTCCTTGTGTTTTGTCCCGTGTGTCAAAGTTCATCATAATAGAAAACCTAAAAAGACGGACGAGAGGAAAATTCCAAAGTCTGTCTCAGCCACATGTCAAGTGGGGACGCAAATCAACAAAATAACCAAATATAGACACTTTTTGGGCTCGTATGAGAAGCCATGAAAAAATGCAAAAACTTTGCGGTTTCTATGGATCCGATCCTGTGACCTCTCCCGTATGAGTCTAGGGAGATATCCATTAGGCCACTTTGCCAACTGTGTGAGATGCTCTCTGGCTCTTCTTATGCGAACCGTGTAGGACAGGGGAATGTAGAGGATGCCACAGTGAAAAAAGCCATAGTGAGAAGATCCCCCTCGTAACTTCTTTCAGAGAATCGTTCCGCAGATAACGAAAACGGATTTGAGCTCAGCGTCGCAAGACCGGTTCATTGGACTACATCTCATTCATAATGGCGCGGACTGAACCAAGTTGAGCATCCCTCGTTAATCATTTTTTGGTCTTGCTCGTGGATTCACTTGAAGTGCTTCTATATGACCAAATTGTCGTCTTTGACGGCCGTTTCTCTCCTGCGGAATGTATCCCTCTTCAGGCGCTAAATAACTAAAGCTCTTGTCATAATAACGCTAACTTGAACTCTGAAACACGAGGAAACTACACCAAAGGGCATAACGTCGTCGAATACTTTACGACGACCCACGCCCTCCACTACCAACTAAAACCATACAAGGTTCTCGGGTAATCATTTTTAACATTCATCTTTCTCGTGGTACTTCAAACGGTGTAACTTCATGGTGCTCTTTTATAATACGAATTCTTCCCCTAAAAATTTCTCACTAGAAAGGGTTCAGGTCGATGGCGATGTACTGTTTTAGTAGCGCTACATTCCACTCCCAACTCCGAACACCTCGGAGGAAGACAAAAGACTTGACTGAGCTGAATGGAACATGATCTCACGAATCATGCTAATTGGGGTTGTGACCCTGACAAGGTCACTTCAATTGCCTAGGAGTTATAGCAGTATAAAAAGACTTTTTATAAGCTGATTTCCAAGATGAAAAGAGACCATTAGGATCTGGACCTTCAGCCACTGCGTTAGCAATGTGCCCTCACCTGAACCTTTTCCAGTTCAATATTTCTATTTTTATTCATATTTGCCTTCCTTCACCCTTTTTGAAACGTTCGTTTTCTGTTTTTAATCTGTTTCTGATTTTAACTGCGCAGTTCGCGTTGCGAATGTTTCACAAGAATGCTGGGTTGTGAACAAAACTTTCGCCCCAGGCGGGACTAGAACCCGCACCTCTCGCTTTCCGGGCAAGTGCGCTACAAGTTACCCTACCGGGTTAAATTTTGTTCACAAGCCATCATTCTTGTGAGACGTTCGTTTTTGTGCTTATGGTTGACTTCAGATTTCTTCATGCTTTATCTCGCGTCTTTGAAACCGGCCCAACGGTTTCAAAGACGGCGTCTTAGGAAGGCTAAGATCGGCCGATTTTTGAATGCATGCAGAGGAAGGCAAAAAATGGTAGGAATGCAAGAACCTAAGGCAGGAAAATGAGAAACGAAACGAGTTCGGGTGACTACACTGACGACTGACTACGATACGTTCGCTCATTCATCCACAATGCCGCCTAAAAAGAGCTCATTGATGGGAATGGATCGTAGAAAAAAGATTAGTGCCCGAAATAGATGGATTTCTTCGAGATATGCCATAAACAGCTTCTACCCGCCAGGGTCAGCAATAAATATCCGAAACATGGTGGACAAGATCGTGCTTTACGATGCGCAATTACGCAACAACGCGCGCGACTCTTGCCTAAATCATAAGATCCTTCACATTTTTCTGCATATATTTCTCTAAGTGAAGGATGTAATTGGGGGGGGGGGGGGAGTCACTTATTATATCTAATCGAAGTGGCAATATCTAATCAAAGTGGAATTGCGGAAGGGCACCCCCGTATTCGTTCAGAGCACAGCCCAGAGGGTACGATTAGATAGGAATTCCAAGCCGGGATGGTCATCTGAATGGCCCTTGAGTACCTCTCCCCAATTTCACTGGATTAGATATGAGTGCCTTCTTGCAACATCACTTCGACTAGATATGAATGCAACCGTCCCCCCCCCCCCCCCAACTACATCTTACCGTTTCTCTGTTCAGTTTTATGATCCATATTTGGTAAACGGTGTCAATTTTAGAGGATTGTGCGGCGGCTCTAGTCTAGCACACACCTGGTCAAACTTCTGTCGAGATCTCCCGTATTCTGACAGCACATTGTCAAACCACAACTGGACTGTAAAGAGCGACACACCTAACGAACTTCCTCGGAGGGGTCGCTCGATTGCGAGCACCACTCGACAAGCGTAGATATCGCAGGAAAGCGCAATTAACGGTGTCAGAATACAGGTTTCGGCTGCGGTTTAGGTTGGTTGAGACTGCTGACAGTCATAAATCTTCAAGGTAATGAGAAGAAATCTACAAACTAGCGGACCCATTATAAATCAATAAAGTTCCAAAAACGACAGTTTGTCTAATACGCGCGAAACCGTGGGAGAGTTGGAATTCAGACGAGGTTTCACAAGAATACTGGGTTATGAAGCTTTGGGCTCAGGACTAGAACCCGCACCTCTCGCTTCCGGGCAAGTGCGCTACCAGTTACGCTACCGGGGCACCATTTCATTCCAACTCAGCTTTTCATGGTATACGTACCATAGCTTTCAGCACTCACACGTCTAACGTGTTGAGCCGGTTAGCCGATATCGGCAATGAACCGCGAGGCTGAAAGCTTTAGCAATTAATTTCGAGTCTGTTAACTGCTGTTCTTATCATCGCAAGTCGCGTTGCGAATGTTCACTTACTGATTACCTGACTACTGCATCCACGTTCCGCAGCCCGTGACTCAGTCCGGAATCCCAAAGAGGAGGATGAAAACCCCAAGGCTAAGCTTGGACGATAGATGGATTCCGGTGAGTGAGCCAGAAGCAGAAGTGGCAAAGCTTAAGTGAGTGATATTACAGAAGTCATGAGCCGCTGTTTAGGCGAGAGAGCGCAGACGAGAGCACCAAATTGAGGCGGTTTACAGGACCGAGTTCAAGTTGTCCGTAGACGGACTTACAACATTCATTCTAACCTTCGTACAAGTTCACACTCCAAGTGATCCCCGCCAGAATTTCATCCCTTGTTTTGAAGCGTGGTTAATAGCTGTCCAATTGAACTATG